TTTTAACTCCTTGCAGCTTAGTGACTGCATTCTCTGCTCTGACTGTGAAGTTTCATAATTTAACCAAACTCGCATTGAGCGCAGACTGGCGTTTTATCTCGTTTTTTCTTGAGAAGGCTGATAATCTTCAAGTCCTTATGATCCGTGTAATTGTTTGTCCCCTTTTCTTTTTGTTTATTCTTTAATCAATGGTTTTCTTCCTTTTTGCGTCTCTAATGGGAGTGAAGGGTCTTCTGACCTTTCCTTTTTTCTCTATCTACTTCAGGGCTGTGGTAATATCAAAGAATGGAGGGAGCCCCACCAAGTTCTGACGTGTCTATCATCGCATCTCAAAACTGTGACGATCCAGCCATACGAGTGCACGGAGGAATGGTTATTCATAAGTTATGTTCTGAGAAATGCTGAAGTCCTGAAGTTGATGAAGGTTTTCAAGATTCATTACACTCATCCATGCAAAGATTTTGAGTTTGATGCGCTCAAGAGAAAAATTTTACAGTTGCAGCCACGTTCTAAGGAATGTGAGATTGAGTTCCCAGAGTGGGATGTGAATTATTATACCAAAGAGCTCTTTTAGTTTTAGTGATATCTATCTTGCACTATACGCTCACCTTGTCATGCGAAGAATTGTTTACAAACTGTTTGGTTTCATTTAGAAATTGCTTTACTCTCCTCCATGCAAACTATAAACGTATAGAACTCTTTTCTTTGTTTCGAATCAGTTTATCCTATTTTCTTTTTCATTTTATGATGCCCGGTTCCACCGTTTTCATTTGGGATGTTAGCTATGCATAGATTTAGATGCACAAAACTCCGAACATGCCTCTTCTCTTTTTGAACTTTGTTGATTGTCTTAACGACGTGAAGGACCTATGAAGTGGTGAGATGGCATGTGTGCCTACTGTCCGATTTGCCGCATGTAAACTTTGAATTTGTTCTCAGCCCAACATCAGAGATAAGAATAGATGTTTTCACGGTTTCTTTTTTTGGTAGCATTTGCTGATTATGAATTTGGACAATGCACTTTGATTCATGACTATAGGCCTTCAATGCTCAAACTGGATTTGCTTTGAGAATAAGATGCTCTGTTTCGAGTTGTATATATGATGCATGCATTTACATAGATACACAACTTGCTACTATTGGCTTAAGCATGTCCTCAAGGCATCCGAGCTCGGGCTCTTGCTCTTGTAGGTTTGGATTCTGTGTGCTGGTGTTTCAGAAGCAAGTGGGTTTGTTGTGTTTTCTTGAGGTTTGCCTACTGTGGTGTGGTTAAGTGCTCTAAGGCAAAAGAATGAAAAAATAATTGAGTTCTGCTACCGAACTTTTGTAGCGATTTTTCTTCAAAGCTTGTCGTTGTCGTAGTGTTGTTTATTGTTTTGGGACTTTGATTTTGTCATTGGGGATGCTGCTACAGATGTATTTGTCGGGAGGAGACTGTTCACAGAATGTTGAACGTTGTTGGCGACATTTGTCAAACGATAATAGGTGTGATTTATGTGTAGCCAAAGAAGAGACTTTGCTGCATACTTTTAAGGGACAAACGCCGCCTCAGTCTGGAGAAGAATAGTTCACACGTAATGTTCTAGTTCCTTGTGACCCAAAAAAAAAAAAGAAAAAAAAATTAACGTCATTAATGCCCCTAAATAATTAATTAATTACTGGTTATTTTTTACGGATCACAGTTCTTGGGCCTCGGTAGCTCGCCCAAATAAAAAGAGATCATCAATGAATTTCTTTATGATTATATAACGTGCTATTTGTATGAAACGAGACTGTTTTGTGGTCACAGAATATGCCTACAATTTGGGTGATGCATACTCTGTTATTTGTACAAAGAAAATCAGATTAACTACTCCTTTCTCTTTCACTACCTTCATAACTTGATAAAACACAACATTGATGGTAAAGCAGACTCGGCAAATTCCACCTACTAAGGGCATTGCCATCGGTGTTTTTTACTACTGAACTTGACTCGTTTATATATTCAAACGAGCTTGTCTACCAAACAACTCGAATCAAAACATGAACAACTCTGTTAGAGTATCACATTTTGGTATATTTTAAGATTTATTAAATGAGTCGAACCGAGTTTATACGAGCCAAACTCAAGAGTACATTTTTTGTTTTGTTTACAAAACAAAACTATTTTACCAAATATAATATAAGATGACTAAAATTTTTATTTTACCAATAAATATAGAAAATCTAAAAAATTAAGATCGAGCTGGAGCCCACATTCAGTCTGTGGGACGGCTCCGGCATTGGAATCACACACTCACATGGATGTATGCAAAAAATATAATAAGAATATCTAATCGGTAGCGTTGTTTTTTATCGTTAGATTATACACAGTGTCGAACTTTTCCAATAATTTGTACATATTTTAATCAACATATGTGAAATTACTTTGGTACATTGGAGCCGTAGAAATGAATCGTATCGAATTCTAGCCTTTTAATGAGTCAATGATCGAGTTCGAACTCGTTTATTTAACTAACGAGCTAAATTATAAAAAAATATATGAAAAAAAAAAAAAACCATATTTTCAAACTTTAATAAACCATAACAGGACGAGCCAAGTCAATCTTAGTTCGTTGACTTAACCAAGCCAGCTTAACTTAACTAAGCCGAACTCTTAATTCTATTTACAAATTAGCCCTTACCTCTATACAGATTGATTCGCATCTCCTCTCTATATTGGCTCCGGCTCCGGCTCCGATTGTTGTTCGATTCTTCCCATGCCGGCAAAGAAGCAACCGCCGCTCGACAGACTCGGCGCCTTGCCGGACGACGTTCTGGTACACATCCTCTCTTTCCTCCCGACCCGCCTCTCTGTGTGCACCAGCGTCCTTTCAAGAAGATGGCGGTCCCTGTGGGCCCATGTCCCCCTTTTAAGTTTCGGACGCGACCGTGTGGACCACGACGGTAGCCTCGGCCGCCGCTTGGCGGACATCGTCATCGAGGTCTTGTCGGCGCACAAAGGGCAAACGGTACACACTTTCCTACTAACAATTCAACCTAGCTTCAACGATTTCGAAATCGAGGGATGGATTGCCGCTCTCGTGTCTCGCAATGTCCGGAATATCTCTATCTATTTCTCCCATTATGAGAGCGTATGGATTACGATGCCCAATTGCCTCTTAATGTGTGAAACCCTAGTGGAATTGAGTATCGGTGGTTATATTGTGATCCCGGCGGCCGGCGATGTGTGCCTGCCGGCCCTTAAGAGGCTTCATTTTTGGGGGGCTGAATCCTTGCCCCGCCTGATATCTGGCTGCCCGGTGCTTGAGGAGCTAAGCATAGTTAATTTTGGTATGCCCCAAAATTTGGAGATTTGTTCGCCAACGCTAATTAAGCTCAAACTCAATATACAACCTAGTGATCATGGATTTGGTGGAAACAAGTGCTTTTGGGTGAAGCTACTTACTCCGGAGCTTAGGTTTTTAAACATGGTCGAGTATGCTTTCGATAATATCTCTGCCGGGACACTTGGTTCATTGGCGGTGGCAAATGTTGCTTTTGGTTTTCATTTTCGCGAATCTCGCTTTATGTTAAAATTTGTGGGCAAGCTGTGTAATGTGGGGAGTCTAGATTTATATGTTGGAGGGATGGAGGTAAGAGTTTGATCACGTCTTGATTTTTTGTGATTTCTGGTTGTTGGGTTTCCATTTCACTTTTTATAGACGGCTTTTTCTCGACTTTTTTTTTTCTCCTTGCAGCTTCCTGACTCTGCATTCTCTGCTCTGAATGTGAAGTTTCATAATTTAACCAAACTCACATTGAGTGCAAACTGGCGTTTTATCTTGTTTTTTCTTGAGAATGCTGATAATCTTCAAGCCCTTACAATCCGTGTAAGTGTAATTGTTTCTCAGCTTTTCTTTTTGTTTAATTTTTAATCAATGGTTTTCTATTGGGATTGAAGGGGCTTTTGACCTTTCCTTTTTTCTCTCTATTTCAGGACTGTGATAATATCAAAGAATGGAGGGAGCCCCACCAAGTTCCGACGTGTCTATCATCGCATCTCGAAACTGTGACGATCGAGCCACACGAGTGCACGGAGGAATGGCTATTCATAAGTTATGTTCTGAGAAATGCTGAAGTCCTAAAGTTGATGAAAGTTATCAAGAGTCGTTATTATCCTTACAAAGATTTTGTGTTTGATGCGCTCAAGAGAAGAATTTTAGAGTTGCAGCCAGATTCTAAGGTATGTGAGATTAAGTTCCAATAGAGGGATGTTCATACCAAATAGCTCTTTTAGTTTTAATGATATCTATCTTGCTCTATACACTCACATTCTAATGCAAAGAATTGTTGACAGATTGTTTGGCTTCATTTAGAAATTGATTTACTCTCCTCCATGCAAACTATAAACGAACAGGATTCTTTTCTTTGTTTCGAATCAGTTTTTCCTATTTTCTTTTTTCATTTTATGATGCCCGGTTCCATTGTTTTCATTTGGGATGTTAGCTTTGAACAAATTTAGATGCATGAAACTCTGGACATATCTCTTCTCTATTTTGAACTTTGTTGATTGTCTTTACGACGTGAAGGACCTCTGTTTTGCCGCATGTAAACTTTGAATTTGTTCTCGTCCGAACATCAGATATAACAATAGATTTATTCGCGGTTTCTTTTTTTGGTAGCGTTTGCTGATTATGAATTTGTCCAATTTACCGTAATTCGTTACTGTAGGCCTTTAATGCTCAAACTTTATTTGCTTTGAGTATAAGATGCTCTGCTTCGAGTTGTATGTATGATGCATGAATGTACACAGATACACAACTCGATACTATCATATAAAGCTCAATATAATTAATTTATTTCGAAGTCATCGTTTCTGTTTGATCAAACATAATGAAAGTTCTTGGTAGTTCAACAATACATAGAAGTAAATATATTTTAAAAATGAAAGTTCTTGGTAGTTCAACAATACATAGAAGTAAATATATTTTAACTAGTGTTTGGAGATGATGAAGTTATAAACTTCCTTGTTGAATTCATCGGCCTTCACTTGGTTGGGAAAATGCCCGACTCCCTTCATCACCACAACTTCTTCTAGATTTGGAATAAGCTTCTTGTAGCTTTTACTCGCTATGGTCTCTTTCACGCCAGGAAATTTGTACGTCATGTCAAATTCGCCAATCAAGAACTTCGCGGGCACTGTAATTTGTGCTCCTGTCCAAGCTGCTGTCAGCTCCCAACTCCTGCATGAAAATGAAAAGGTAAGTAAGTTGATACAAATTTAACAATTCCTTCTTGGCAATCCGGTTGTTCGTTCATTCATCAATTAGCTTTGCGTACGAAACGTGCTATACAACTTACAAGTCCAGCGCTCGATAGTAGTTCAATCCTCCCGTGAAGCCAGTTTTATTGAATTTAGAAGTGAAATAATCTAAATCATCCTGAGTGAGCCACGAGGGCAATGGCACTTGAGGACCTTGGAAAAACGTGGCTATACTCTTGTTGGTGGGTATAACTAACGGTTCTGTCTGGTTTATGGTCATAAATGTTCTTATCACAGTCTCCGTCCCTACCAATGCAAATGCTTCTTCCGCATCTCCCGCTTTCTGGTTATAACATATAGTAAACATCGAAACATATTACGTTTGTTCAACTTGTTAATTAAAGGAAAAAAATTTATGAACTCGGCAAAAGTTAGACAATATTAGTTTTACTCCATGCAATTGCACGAAAAACGATATAATAGAAGAAAAAGTAACTAAAAATATATAATAAAATAAAATCACAATTTAATAAATGAAAAAAAAAATTTAAAAAGTGACTGCAATAGGAAAATAAAGATATTTGTAGTCATTCCTAATAAGTTGTGAAATATGTATTTATATAATACCCAAAAATATATAGTATCAAAATAAAAAAGAAAAACAAAAATATATTGTATTTCAGAACATAAAAAAGCGTCACCATCCAAAATAGGACCTATCAAAATAAATTGTGTAAATGAAAGTTATGTATTATTATTATTAAATGGTGAACATATTTTTTATTAAATGTCTGCCACATACTTTTATTAAATGAACTAATATTATTATTAATTGAGGGATGAATAAATAAAATTAAATTAAACTTGCCAACAATTATATATATATATATAGATTAAGCTCACGAGCGGCTCGTTTTTTCGAAAAACCTGGAATCTCATGATGTAGAAGCCGTCGGTAAGCGCTTTTGCGTAGGTCACCGTAGGTGGGTACTTCGGATTTCTCGGGTTGAAAAAGATGCTGCTGTTGACAAGGGCTATGATCTTATCGGGCCTCATCATGCACAGCAGCCAGGCCAGGTTAGCGCCCCAATCGTGGGCCACAAGGTAGACTCGTTCAAGCCCAAGTGCTTCAAGTAGGCCCACAATGTCCCCCAACACGTGGAGCACTGTGGAGTTGTTAATAGTGGTCGGGGCCCCGGAAGTCTCCCCGTAGCCTCGGAGGTCGGGGGCTATGGTTCGGTAACCCTTGGCCGAGAAGAAGGTCATTTGGTGGCGCCACGAATACCAAAGCTCGGGAAAACCGTGGAGGAAGAGAATTGTTCCGGCAGAGCCGCTGCAGCCCATCTCCGCCACGTGCATGGTGATATTGGTTCCGTTGAGCGGAATATAGTTGTGCACCACGTTTGGTAACCCTGATGGGTCCGGGCTCGGGCTTGGGCTCGGGCCCGAGCAGGCGAGACATGGTGAGGCCCAAAAAATGAGGCCCATTGAGAAAAACAAAATTATGTATGAAATTTTTGACATTTTTTTTTTTTTTTTTTTTNTGAAATTTTAGTTAGCTTTGGATAGGAATTTTATAGTTGTAAATCAATAGTCTGGCACTTGGTTAGTTTTTTGTGCCTTTTGAGTTGTTATTAGTACTTAGTACAGTATGTTTGGTCGGTGCGCGTGCTTGGGCGTGTTCAATTTAGCTGCGGTCATCTCGGGTAAATTGGTTGGTTGTGAAGTAAAAGTTATTACCATGTCTTTAGAATTAATATTTTAATAATTTTTTTTATATAAATGTGTTGATATGAGCTAGTTTTAGTCGGAGTTTTCAGATGTATAATTATTAAGTTTTAGAATAATTTCACACTCGATGACATTATTATTCTTTTCACTTTTTGGTATAGACAAAATCAAAATACCGTGATGTTTTCAAAACTCAAAAATGGTGGTAAAGAAAAAGATGTGGTCACGCTATGAATTTTGATCACCGTGTTAAAGATTGAAAAATATTCTCTCTCTCTCTGGGCTTATTATAGCAAATATTTGTTTGAGATATATGTTCGATCTGTTGAAATATATGTTTTGTTTGATTAAACTGTAATCATTCCATTCGGACAAATGTGAAAGTATAACATGACTTCATATCACCATGTTTAAGATTTTGAAATATTTTTGCTGGTTTATTGATAATATTACATTGAAATATATACGTTTTGTTTGACTAAAATGCTAGCATATAATTTTAACCTATGCATAAAATATAATTACTCTTTTTTTTCTTGCAAATATATAATTACTCTTTTAAGTATACTTTGTTGGCTTATTGCAAATATCAATTTAAAATATATATGTTTCGTTAGACTAAAATGTGAGTATTGATCATCTATATTTATATAATAAGAATAACTATTTATTAAAAATAGTAGTTAAAAATTTTGAAAGCATTTAGCATACCATTTTTTAGAACTTTTTAAATATATTATTTAATTACTTCCATATACATGTTTTCAAATAAGATCAAATAAGATATTATCAAAAAATATTGTTTCCTTAAATAATTTTATTAGTACCTTCAATAATTTCATTAATATTCATTATAATAAATTATAAGATTGATTTTTCGTGTTTCATGCTGATATTATTTTGGTCAAGATAAATATTATAATATATTTTAAGTTTTGATCATAATATTATTTTTTTTTCTTACAAATATTTATTTTTTATCCAAAAATATTTATTGAAAACCGTAATAGGTGAGGTATAATTTTTTCTTCCAATTAATCAGGCGAAATCAAGTTGGTGAATTGATCTTTGCCGATATAATTTTTTCTTAATCTTTATTTTGTTATATATAAAAAATAAATTATACTTCAAATTAATATAATTTACCACTTAAGAGATAATGACTAGATACATTAAATAATTTTACTAATGGTAAAAAAATTAATATTGAAATATATTAATTATTCTGTAAAATTTATTTGTATATTATTGGCAACCATGATTATTTTTTTATTTTGATTTCTTTCTATAATGAAATTCTTGTAAAATATATTTACATTGCAGAGTTTGCAAAATAAACTATAAATCCTTATAATGCAAATTAGAAAAATCTTGATTATAGGAGGGATTGAGTTTCTTACATTTTCTAAATAAAAGATGTTTAATTAGTATACAAAATTAAAATCTGAAAAACATGTGTGTATATTTTGTAAAATATTTATACACTATTTAATTTTAAATTTATTCACATATTTTAAATTGATTACATAAATATACAATACTAACATACTTTAAATTTTATGACATGAAATTAAAAGAAAAAGAAGACGTATAATTTCTATAACTTTTATAAATAATAATGACATTATATGACAACAAAGTTTATAATAAAATAATAATTAAATATTTTATGGGGAACAAGAATAAGTAAAACTGTTATTTTCTATTATATCAAGGAATAAATATATATACCAAAATCAAATTTATATTAGTATAAATGTGTTAGTGAAATAATATATTAATTATTGTACAAGCTAGCACTAACATGCTCATATTTAATGTTCTGACTAAAAAACAATGCTGATTAAAAGAGGTTAAAAATATATTATAACCCTATTGTTTTTTAGACTTAACACTGATAAAAAAAAGATGAAAAATAGATGATATCCGTATTGCTTTTTAGATTTAAACGGACAGACTGTGAAAATAAATCATTTAATATCTTTGTCTCGTGCGTTGCATAGGGACCTGTAAATATATAAAAGATTGATTATGTTTATCTGGTCTAACAAAATTGAATGAGTATTTTGTAGGAGAAAAAGGTGAATGAAATTTCGCTAACTTATACATTTAGTTGACAACTTGCAACTTTAATTTTTAATTTAATTTTTTATGTCTTAAGTTATATTTTAATTCTAGCAACTCTTTAATTCAAAGAGTAAATGAAAAAGTTTAATAGGTTCTATCTTAAGCCTGTAAATTCATATGTCTTGTTTTGAAATTTAAAAGAAGAAGAAAGAAAAATAAAAAATATTTTAAAGGTATTATCTTCTCCTTCTTTAAAGTGTATTGATCTAGATATAATTTTAGTTTGTCGCACTTGATCTGGGTTTTCCGTTGTGTTCTAGAAAAGAGATGATCATACAGCAAATATGTTTTAAAGACATTGTGCTCTCACATACCTCAATATTTTGTTATATAGTCATCTTAATTAACTTCTTTATAAAGTTCCCAACAATCTTAAAACATATTTGATAATGATGGCTGCTGAGCAAAATACTATTGGTGTTGCTGCAATACCGGTGCTACCATTGTTGCTATAAGTTCTCTTTCTCTTTCCGTAATTATTCCGGTGAATCATGCTGATAAGATGGAAAAGTTCAACGACTTCAATTTTAAGCGTTGGCATCAAAAGATCGTTTCATCTCACCACGTTGAACCTTGCGAAGTTTTTGACAGAAAATTACTACTTTGTCCCCAGCTTCTCAATGCCCACAAGAATAGGTAACTTGTCGAGCTGAGCAAACGAATGAATGAGTAAAAGCTCTACTCAAAAGTTGGGGAAAAAAATTGATATACGAGTCGTCAGTGCGCTTGAAGCATGGAATCACTCGAATTTCTTGTGTAGAAATTATGTAATGAACTGCTTGGTCGATATGTTGTACAACGTATACAGTTCTATCAAAACAATGAAGGTGCTTTGAGAGTCCTTGTATAAAAAATACAGAACCGAAGATGTTGCAACCAAGAAATTTTTTGTATGCTAGTTTTTAGAATATAAGATGTTTGACTCGAAGACTATAATCAATTAAGTACAAGAGCTTCAAATAATCTTGCATGATATTCATTCCGAGGGAATGTAGTGAATGAAATTTTTAGGTGGCTTCTATAATTTCAAAGCTTCCACCGAGCTGGAAAGATTTTAAAAATTATTTATTGGATAAGAAAAAAGAGATGACTGATAAAGAGTTTGTCGTTAGACTTCGAATTGAAGAAGACAATAACGGCCACAACAAGAAACTGATTAATTCTCACTTGGCCAAGTTCAATATTGTTGAGCATGGTGCAAGCTCATTTAAAAATAATAAGAAAAAAAATTGGCAGTATTGAAGCCAAAGAAACAAAATTTCAAGAAAAAAATTTTCTGGAAATTGTTTTAACTAATGAGTTCGTTCAAAATTTCAAGTAGATACATGTATCTACTTACAAATGAATTCATTCAAAATTTTGTAGTTTGCAGAGACCAATTCAATTCCAAATTAGAAAATCATTTCACTTTGATTTTATAACAAATGAACTAATTCGACTTTCATACCCATACCAAATAAAATTAATATCAGTTATTTTTTGTTTCAAAATTTTCAAATACATTCTTATTCATAGCAAGTAAATCCATACCATTTAAATTCAACATTTTGTACTAAAATAAAATCGTTCACTTTATACCATAAAATTCATACATTTATTAATAACAACACATTTTCGACCGTTTATTAATTTTGCCAACTTTGTACCAAAAATTGATTAATTAATATTTAAAGGCAGGATTGTTATATAAACTTTTTTTTTTTAAAAAAAAACAAGTTTAGTAATTCTAAAATTTGTAGGCTGGATTGTAGATCATATTTCAAGTAAATACAAACTTTTATATATATTTATATGTGTGTGTGGATGTTTTTATAGTAAATCCCATTATTTATCTATGCACACTTATGAATAGCAGCTTAGGATTGATTAGATTAGATTTTTTTTATTTTTTTTGTTTTTTCGTAAAATGCAGTTACTTATTNATGATAGGATATATTGAAACACAATATACCGGATATACAATTTGTTTTAAAAGGAATAAAACATATATTCATTCTATATAGTTAGGTTCGGTAATTATTGCTACCATATATTTATTAGTTAAGATTTATATGTTTACCATACAACATGTACTATTTTTGCTCAGTATATGACCGGAAGTAAAATGTATAAATAACGACTATATATTACAATTTATTATTCAAATTGTAAATAACACAAAAAATAAAGCAATCTATTGGGTAAACATATATTTTGTAATTTCGACATAGATATACGGGATACAACATGTTTAAAAAGAAATAAAATATAAATGTAACATAAATTTACGTGTTTTGTCAAAATATGCAAATTTTTCACAATCCCACAAAAATTTTATATACTGTAACTCATATCACTCTTAACCGATCACGAAAAATATGCCATTTAATCGGTAAATTATTTTATACTTGGAAACACTTCCAAATGTATTTTGATAATTTTTCATACCAAAAATTGAATATCCCAATAAAATTTCATACCGAAAATATTTCGCCCACTTTATACCATAAATTACTTGATTAATTTTCCAATATAGTAAATAATATTTTTTTGGCGGGAAACAGTTACTATTTTAAAAATAATCAAACCTTTATATGATATTCTTATTTTCTTTCTTTTATTTTTATTTATTATATTAGGGTAGTTTTTATTTCGCTAATTGAGTGGGGTCTCGTGGTCTTGGAGGATCCAGTGGGGAGTGATCTCGTGATCGTAGTATGGGATCTAATGAGCGATGGTTTTTAAAGAGTTTTTTAGGGGGTTAGGGTGTTCCACGGATGATGTTTTGATTTAGTATATGAGGAAAAAATGGTTGTGTAGCTAGCTGCAAAATAACCCTAAATTCCCCAAATTCAACTCAGCAGAAGCCAAAAAAGCAAAAGCAACTGGCGAATCCCCACTTTCTTCGCCTCCTACTCGAGGCTCGCGCCATTTCTCCAGCCCAGAGCAAAACGACTTTGTATTCAATTTGGATTTCAAGTGATATTTTACGACTTTTTAAGACTTGAGACTTTTTAAGAATTTCATACTTTGGAGAAAATTTGTGAAATTTTAAGTCTGAAGGTAAGATTTGAAGTAAACTTTCGTATAAGGTTTTTTCTTTAGATATCCTAACAAATCTCTAAAAATTTTAATAAATCATAATCTCTAATAAGTTAGATACCTCAAAATTTTTTAAGAACTCAAATGAATACCCTAAAACTTTAAAAAGTTTTAAAAAATCTTTTGAAATCCCAATTGAATACACTTCTTAGTGTATCTTCAGTAATTGATAAGCTTATATCATAAGATAATACTAATAGAATTATTAATATTCTCTTCTTATTTCATTGGTTATTTGTAATCACTAATAATCAAGTTGTCTTAAACCGTCGTGTTCGTCCGATTCATCTGTACATCGCATTTTCTCGATTTATCCATATAAGGGTGGGTCGGTATTTTCCCCAACCTAATCGCGTCACTAGCGACGACAAATTACAAGATCTCTCAGCCTAGTATGAAACGAAATACCCAAACAATCAGCACCTGAGAAAAAGGTAGCGAGAGAATGTAGTGAATTTGACGTTTAATACCCAAACACGAGTTTACTTACATGATTATCTATCATCAATAACTCCTTGTACCTCAAAATACAGAATCTGGCTGAAGTTATAACTTGAGCAGTTATTCAATACACATATTGAAAGGGAAAGAGCAAAACAAGCAACAGCAGAACTTCAAAATAGATCCCATCAAGATGAATCGCAAAACAGTACTCAGTGTAGTGCTTCAGAAAAACTTGAATTATAAATCATCACAACCTGGGAAAACCAAGGACGAAATAATCCAGTTTGAGAGTGAATCCATTGGAACTTCAAATTTTGCTTTACTTGCTAAGCAATCATTTGCTCCATTCAGAAAACAAATTCAGTTCTCAAGATTATTCATGTGAGACACCTTACTGTAAGATATATTGCAAATTTCTCATCAGACATTTGTACAAAGCTGATCTTAGGCTCATTTCCTGACGAATATCGACTGGTAAGAAGTGATGTTCAAAATTCAAAGAGAAACAAAGACAGACCAAGAGAAGAAAAATGTTCATATGGGGTTCATCTTCTAGACAGAAACCTTGCTTCAAACCTTGAAAGATGGAACTGATCACAAATCATCATTGCAAGCTGATTAATATAGAAGAAATTAGTGAAATAATACTTGGATGAACTAAACATCTATAATACATGATTCTCAGAAATGACATCATTGAAATTTTAGCTTCGGCGAGTAATGAGACAAAAAGATAAAGAAAAAGAAAAAGAAAAATCTACGAAGAAGCAATCTGGACACATAAGACAATGAAATTATTGCATCCAAACATCCTTTTAGAAAAAAGAAAAAAAAAAATTAAGGAGTAAACACCAACTAACAGCTCTCCTACATCTGGACACATAATGACCCTTCACCAGCTCAATGAGAACTTTCTTCACATTCCACGATCAGTGTTTAGAAGAGTTTCTACACTAAATATCCCTTGCCTTCCAAAGTTCATCACACATCATCATTGCAAGCTGATTGATAACAATATCACATAAGCTTCAATCAGACTCATTTTTGTTTTAAAAGATTTGTAGAATGCTAATGACACCTATAGCAACCACTAATATTCATACTATTCTTGCACGTACTATCATTGTTGAGATTATACTATAGTAACTGCCATAAAAGAAACTATACAGGAAAAATAGAATTAGATACAAGGATAACATTGCAAGATATCAATTGACATATAAGGAAATGAAATTTCACAATCAAGAGTTATAAACTGTTGACAAATAGAATGTAGAGGAAGTCTATTCATGTATAAATAGGAAAATATGTCTACGTAAAAGCATTGTCTTCCAGCATGAAATTCTAAATACAATTAAAGTAATTCTCTGCTTCTCCATCTTCATCTAGTCTTGTCAAGGCCTACAAACAGGATGAATGAAAATAGACTACTTAAACAAAATGAGGAAATAGGCATGTAGAAGATATAAATTTGATGGTTCTTCGCATGAAATAAGGAATTAAACAATGCAAATAGATTTTATTATCATTACGTAGAAACAGGCAACTCAACACTGAGGCCAGCCGAGGAATAGGATGTCCAAAGAGATATGAGAAGGTCAGAGACTGACTGATCTTATAAATTTATTATGCTAGGATTTTAAGATGTTTCAGGTGGCCGGACACTCACAATGAAAAAACTAACTCACCAGGGATATGAAAGGAGGAGAAGGTCAGCAAAAGAAGGCTCTATGCTGGCTAGATACCTAAAATCAAGAATGAATAGCCAATGGTTAGGCAACTCATCACCATTTACTGGTTTGTGGAGAAAGAAAAGGAAGCAAGTACAAGAGTTGTACTTGAGAAAAATAAATAAAGCACACGGAGAAGCTGATTATCTCTCCAAGAGAATTGTTTGAGATAGATGGAATAGGGGCTACAGATTATGTAGTGATTACTGTTCCAAACCCCAAACAAATTCTTGTCACTGTGACTGTGACCTTTCTAATATCTATGAGGCCAAGAAATTATGATGTCAAAAGAAATGCCATTAATCTGAAAACTTAATTATTGATTCTATTTCTATTTTTTTATATGTATTCAACTCGTGAAAGTAACACGACTGTTTTGGTGAAAAAACTACTGCTAAAAACCTATCATACGATCTCTCATGCCGCAAAGAGAGAAAATATTTGTTAAAAAGAAAATATTTGTCAATTGTTATCAGCGCTCATGTACATATAATACAAGAAATCTGCAATGGTATATCACTTTGATTTGAAACATGTCCAGCCATCCAGTGAGAAAGCAGTAAATTACAACAAATGCAACAATGTCCTAAAATCTTGGTTATATGATTCTCCATTACCCCTCCCCCTCACTCAATCTCTATCTCCCTGCATGTAATCCTACACCCCGGCTTATTTTCTATAACTATATAACAGAAGCACAATGATTCGTTAGACAGCACTGTTGTTGGATTTATGACCTCTCCTCCTTTATAATTGGTTCCTTCACTGGAATAAAAATGAATGTATACAAGTCTCAAGTCCTGAGAAGCAGGGTAACCATTAGTCCATGACACCCAAATGTCTCTCAAGGATAGCTTTTAAATACTGACTCTCAGTGGGAAATTACAAAATCCTCGACTAAATTACTGGTCCACGAATGCACATGCTTCAATACGAGGTTGTATTAGTGCCACCCTGTCTCTTTGGTTCTCTCTCTCTCTCTCTCTCGCCATCTGAATCTCAGTATACTAGAAGAAATGGTAAAATATCACCAAGCCTCAAAACCACATCTTAATTTTACTTCTAAGATTAAAAAGGTACATCAAATGATCAAATTCCCAACTTTCCAGCTCTCAAGAGAAACCTCAAGCAAACATAAATGGGCCTACAGAATTACGGTGGATAGAGATCAGATAATGCTGTATGAACAAGTTATGCATCGGCATTCATCACAGGGACAACAGCAGACGAGACATCATCAATCATTCAGTCATCAGATCAAAATATAAAGAAAATAAAAAAGGACAAAACTTTCAAGCGCAGAAGTAATATCAAAAGTATGCACATTCATATTTGACGGTACCTTCCGGGAGCCAACCATAACCGCAGCTGGAGACAGTGAGCATTGACGTCATCAGGGCGGAGGCAGTAACCGTGTGGTACGGCTGCAACGACTCCAGGCACGCACTCAATTCGACGGGGTTCCTTTCAGAATATTAATCTCCAACAATTAAACCTCGAACCGCGAAAAAAAAAAACATCGTCAATTGAATCGCGTGATGAAGGAAAGAATAGTAGGTACCGGAGGACGCGGTGCGCGAGAAGAGGAGCTCTGGATGGGAGGCGGAAGGGGGCGGAGGCGGAGCGAGCTGATTTGGCCTCGGAGGTGAACCTCGCGGCGGCGCAACGGACGGCAGACGACCGGAAAACGGATCTGGCGGCAGTTGATGCGGCAGACATAACCATTTTTCTCTTTGTTTAGGCTGATTTTTGGAGAGCTGAGTAGTGAGTGATATAACCGAGGGTTTTTCTCAGAGCTAAAACCCTACATGGAAAGTATTTTGAAATCTATATCTATATAATAAGAACTAACATTTATCAAAAATAATAACTCAATCTTTGGTCAAAAGTTAAAACTGATCAACATTAATTACATGCGAATTATAGTATACTAGTACGAATCCCGTGCGATGCACGGGTAAGAAATATTCATTAGTATTTATAAATTAAAAATAATTATTAGATAATATTTATAAATTAAAAATATTGAATCAATATGTAATACATTTACCTATATTAATTTATTGAAAATGTTATATGAATTTTATATCGTGCAAAATTACATAAAACGTGTCAATTTAATTAGTATACAACCCGTATGGTGCACGTAACTGATAATAAATTACATTATATTTATTTCAAAATAAGTGTCATTTTAAAATATTTATTCAGAAATTCGATTGGACTACAATGTGATTCCATAAAATAATTCTTTTGGTATAATTTTATCATATATTTAAAAATCTATGTGAATAATAAGTACAATTATAAAACTTATAGTGTTCATTAATTAAAATGAATTTAATTTTGTATAAACTATCAAAATAAAAAATTTAAGTTGTTGAGTAATTTATTAAACTATAATTAATTGACTATTTCATTTATGCCCAAGTTAATATTGACACGTAAGTTATGAATAATTATTTATTTGACTTTTAAAGTTGTGAACCTAACAATTATTTTATGTGAACCACAATCCATCTAATTAATTGACATTTGTCAAAATTTATATAATAACAACATTTATGCATTGGAGATGCTCTAAGCTTAGCCATTTCAAAATCTTTTTAGATTAATAGTTTAGTTATCCACAGATTTATCAAATAAGTGTATGGTGAAGATTTATCAAAATCTTTTTAGATTAGTAGTTAGTTATCTACAGATTCCATCATGAGTTATCCACAGATTACTGTTCCAATATTATCTCTACACCATTAATTTTGAATTCAAACTGTGATTTTCCGTAAAAAAAACTACACCATTATTGTTTTCAAGCTTTTTATAAATAGAATGTCAAAGGTATTATTTATTTGGTCAAAAGTTTCCAAAAATGATTTAACCAACAACCTTTTTATATATAGATAGATTTTTAATATATTTTTTACTAAAAAATGGACAACATTAAATATTGTCCTTAAAATGAAGAGTTTGTTATTTTTTTATTTTCAAAAAAGTGGGCTGCTATTTAAATTTGGTCCATTGAATATTTGCGATGGTTTGACACGATGTGCATATCAAAAGCTGATAATGCGCGAGCTGCATCAATTAAATTTGGTTATTGGTTACAATAAGCTATTTTTAAATTTGAATAAAAATGTACGTCACGACTGCTAATTCAATTAAACATGGGCCAATTATATTCTCCAAATTTAAAATCAGATATTCGGCTAATACAATTGCTTTGCTTGGCAGTTTTTTTTAATAAAAAAATTACGACTGATTTAATAATAAAAAAAATTATGTGTTATTTTTTCTAACCATAAAAATATGCTTTTGTATTTTCAAAATATCGGAAACTATTTTTTTCTATATAATCGGCTAGTACATATGTTTTGATTAGCAAATTTTATTTAAACAAAATTACGGCTAATTTAAGGGTAGAAATATAAAAATAAAAAATAAGAAAATTATTTGTTTATTTCTTTTGAAAATATTTTTTCTAACCATCAAATCAGGCAGTTGCAATTAAAAGAATAAAGTTGTGGCTGATTCAATTGTTTTGTTTGACAATTATTTATAAAAAAAAAATAATACACGGGTCTAATTTTGAAACGATCAAAATTTTTATGGTCTTTGTTTAAATCAGAGATTTGAAATAAGAATAATCTCCATATTTAAATTGCTTTAATTGTAAAACGTGATGTATACAAGATTTAGATAGATTTATCACATATCATCCTCTAAATTAATGATTTTTTTTTTAAATTTCAAAATACCGAATCGATTTTTTTATGGTCTTTGTTTAAATCAGAGATTCAAAATATCTTAATCTCTATATTTAAATTGCTTTAATTGTAAAACGTGATGTATACAAGATTTAGATAGATTTATCACATAACTCCCCTAAATTAATGATTTTATTTTTTTCTAGGTTTCAAAATACCAAATCCTAAAGTTGCGGCTGATTTAGTTATTAAACGATATTTTGCAATCATAGATTCAGGTTATCTTCAAATTCCCAAATTGCCGATATGTAGATAAATTTGAACAGATTAAATACATATGATCCCTAACATGAAGGATTTTATTCCATTAAAAACATAAAATATGAACTTAAGATGTAGATTTTATTTTGCACGTGTGATAATACAATATTACATGCTATGAAAGTCATATTGTTTGCACGGGCTACGCACTAGTAGGAAATAAAACTATTTTATCAAGTCGCTTAATTATTTTTTGATAACTTTTTATTTAGCATTCATTGTATATAAAAAAATAAAAATAATAATTACATCCGGTAATCAAATAAAATTAAATTCAGTCACTAAAAGATGACAAATATAATGTACAAGACCAAATTTCAGAATTTGAAGAGAATTGCTTGATATTCATATTATATGTTTCTTCTTCTATACGGACATTTATATTAAATCCATATAATACTTTTAGGCACGCAACTTATTTTATTCATTTCGTTTGCACATTTTATTTTGGTTTTAAGTTACAGAGAATGCCAAGTAGTCGTTATGACTACCATTTTTTTTTATTATTATTATTAAGGATAAGGGTCGAATCCTCCTAAATAAACAATTGAAAAAACAAAATTTGTGGCGAAAATCATATTCAATCTTTATTTGAACTCTGATGCAAAAAAACAATCCATGCATTTATGCTAAAAATATCATATTCAAATCTTTTAACTTTTAATTGGATTTTGATGCAAAATCCAATGTATCTTAAATAGGATTACAAATGAGTCAAAGCTACTCACGAGCGCTCAAGTCTATGCTAGTTCGACCCAAGCTCGGTCAAACTTGAGCTCTAGTCTAATAGTTCAATAGAGCAAACAAGTCGAGCTTCAAGCATGTTCGTAAACTCAACGTTTTATTTACATAAATGTCTTATACTGTTTTTTTTTTCGTAACAATAGATTTTATAACAACAAAAAACAACACAAACAAACAAACTAGTACTCAACCATACAACCGACTATAACAGTCATTCGACCGAGTGCAATCGCTACACCACTGAATCTAGAATGGAGAACTACCAAACGGTAGCCTAAAACCTACTTACCACAACGCACACACTAAATTCTTCCAATAGGAGAATAACAAAACAAAAACTCCCAACAGAAGAATACACATATCGCACTCCCAACGAAAAATGTCTCATACTGTTAAAGTATTAATATTAGAACACCAAGCCTTAATTTTCTATTTGATTAAGTATAGTACACTCATATTTAAAGTTTAGTTAAAATTTACTAGTGAGAATCCCGTGTGATGCACGGGGTTTTTGTACTTTAGAACTTTTTTTTAAAACATTATTTTCACAATATATTAGCATGCCGACCCGTTTATACTATTATAAATAATATTTTAGCATATACATTTATTTTTTAATACAAAATAATAATAATTTTACTTATTTTGGTTCATCATAATACTCAATTATTAATCTATAAAAAAATCTATTATCATATACTGTCATTATTATTTATAACACTTGTAGAAGTAATATATTTGTTATATAATGATAAATATGTAATGTATATTAATATTATTTATTGATGTAATTAATTTAAAAAGATATAAGCAAATTTAATGTTTGGTAGGAATGTGATTATATGTAAGTTGAAATAAAATGAAATGTATCAAAAAAATCTGCTTATGATATTTTCCTTTAAATGTTTGGATGAATTTGAAATTCAAATTACAAATCAACCTCCAGTTATTCAAATAATTTTAAAAAAGTTACCAATTGTATTAAAATGTACGTGACAATATATTATAAATATACATGACGTCAGTAATGTTATGAATCTTTAAGTTCCTAAAATATATATTGGTTAGATATGAAACTAATTAACTTATATGTTAAGAATATATATATAAATATATGTATTGTACGAAATATACACGTGACAAGTTATTATATTTGTTTGTATTGTTTATTATATTTGTTTATTATATTTGTATATAAATATATTGTTTATATATTTGTCTGTATTGTACGACATTTGTTTATATATTGTTTAAATATATATTGTTTAGATATGAAACTAATTAACCTATATGTTAAGAAAATATATATAAATATATGTATTGTCTGAAATCTTTAACGCTTTTGTTAAATTTTTCCTCTAAAAAATTCAAAATATATTTAGGCATGTTTTGTTTGCAGTTTGAAATTTAAATATGCATCTATATAACAAATCCCATGATTTATGCTAGCATTAAATGCTACTTGATTTTTTATTAAAAAAATTAAAAAAAACATACCAAAACTGGAATGCAATTAATATTCCTTATTTTTTTGTTTACTATTTTTGAAAAATGTTAATTCTTATTATATATATATATAGATGAGTAGAATTTGAGCCATGTCAAGCATCAAGTTGTAGTCAAGCATTCTTATTTTTTTCACTGAGTCGAATCAAGCACCATTTTACATAGCTTCATACATCTGATACGACAGCAGTGCTAATCAAAGTAAAGGGAACCAAGACAAGAAACATATTAATAAGTACTTGAAATATGAGGTTAACATCGTTATTCAAATGACCCCCGCAATCAGTTTCACAACGTAAAAATCCTCGTGCGCCAAATCGAACGGAACAGACACAAATCTTGCATTGCAAAATTTGGCCGAATCAGCTTTCATAGACATCAATCGCCACAGGAAAAATACTGAGATGTTCAAGAGGCTTGATTCAGTTAAAGCTATTGCCGCACAGAAGCCCTTTTGCATAACCAAGTTGGGATTTCCAAGCAAAGATTCAACCTTTAACCACTATCAACTCTCTTCTTTGTATTC